GTACACTTGGAAATAAGTGCTGTTCTGAAGATTACCCTAGTTACCCTGGCTAAGAATACTGTTGTGGTTAACCTAACTGTTGTAACTGTAAACTGTTGTGGCCATCCTACGCAGCATGTATTGGCAGCGGTGCCGTGCGGCACAGCATGCGCTAGGCGTCGCACAGAGAGACATCTATCGTCAGAATCAGTAACTAGCGCGCCGTGCGTTATGAGATCCATCAGGCGACACTCCAGGTCGCGTGAATGGTGTCGGCCGCTGCTCCGACTGCTCTCACCTTGACTGCCGCCTTCTCACCTCCTCTCCCTGCCCCTCCTCCCCTCTACCCGAGGCCCCTCCACCCACCGGGTTGGCACGGCGGCCGACGGACGGTGGCGGCCGCGGCGCCCGTCTGCCCTGTCGGAAGGCACCACGGCGTGACGTCATCACTGACCCTGGCCGGGGGCCGCGCCACCTCAGGGACCAGCCGGCCCCGCGGCCTTCGCTACCGGCTCCCCAGAGAGGTGGGAGTGTGTATAGACCTGCCGTCTGCCCCCGAGGGACTGGGAAGGGTGGATGGTGAACGGGGAACCGAAGACGTACCGGGATAGGTAGGACTGAACCTGCACAGTTTTTGACTTGGCTGGGGTTTATCAGTGCAATGACGTTTGAAAATACGTTTAGAGTTTACCATGAATGATATGAATACATTCAGTTGCTAATTCACACATTTAATTCATGGCTTAAGTACATCAGCATTCAGCAATCACATTTACGGGGATGTGCTCTTTTAGTACATAACTATATTCACCAATAAAACTGATGAGCTAAAACTGTGCAAATTAGCTCATTTGACCACTTATTAGAAAATTTCATTACAGATGAACATCATTTCCCTTCCGATTGAAGCGCAGCATTCCTCAAGGCTTCCAGTGGTATGTCAAACTGATCTGGAAATTGTATCATGGTATCATTTTTAAAGTTACTGATGGTTTTGCTCAAGGGGTCACAAGCTCGTTTTCCGTTATCAGATCTAAGGTGCCGGCTCGTTTTGATGTAAGTGAATACTCTTTTATCTGGTCGACAGACATAACAGAATAATAAACCAGTCTCTGCTACTAATAAGAATGCCTTTCCGAGAACTTTCTCAATAGTACCTTTTCAGACCATACACAGTTCTTCCGTAAATTATTATGATTAGGAGCCAGACTCATTCAGACAGTCAGACGGCCCGGCCCTTTCAACTACGCCGCCGGTTGATCAATAATCATGTAAACTAGCATTGTGGAGCCGCAGCTTCATCGAATGGAAGCGAGTGGTTAACTCATCACCTGTATTCAAATGTAAACCGCGAATCGAACATCAGAAGACCGTGTGGCTTCTGTCACTGACCGCGGTCGCTGATTTCTGTTTGAAATACAGTGCAGGTCTGTTTTGGAGGCTGTGATGAGGGGTGGCAATAAATTGTGCTATCATATGGGATAGATGTGTATTACGTCAACGACATTGCTGGCTTTAGTTGCATGTCAGCTTGAAATCGATTAGCAAAAACTTAACCCTCGCATGTGTGCGGCGTTTGCCAGCTTCTAATGTGTAGGGGGGGTCGGCTGGACCCCCCCCCCCTTGCCGTTTGGCCCCTGATCGAGCTAGAGCTTCGCGAAAAAAAACGAGCGTGTTGCCCGTGACGAGAGGAAGCCAATGATACCCAATTTTAAGGTCCTAGGTCATTGGTTGACCTTCCAGGTCAGGTCAATGACCCAAAGTCGGGAAAATCGGGACCTGTTAGAAAGTCGTAAAGTGTGGCTGCTAAGGGGTTTTTCGGGGTGCTGATCACGAATATCGTGTTAGTTTTGATCACAGATGATGTCTTGAAGCATTTAGACCAGGTCGGGTCAGGTCAGGTCAGGTCAACCAGTAGGCGTCGTGACGGGTATTCGTAGTACGTGTCAACCGCCTCTGACAGCTTCGTAACATGTTACGAAGTCACCAAAACTACTTCGTAAATGTTCAAATGGTTGCTAAATTCGAATTCAGCTCCAAAAACTAGCCTAGAAACATGTAAAACTCGAAAAAGTGACCCGAGGTCACCCGAGGTCACCAAAGGTCAATGACCTGACCTGACCTTCAGGTGACCTTGACACACACGGGAGTAACATCAAATCACATGTTTGAACGTTTGAAACCACGAAAAGCTTGCAAACACGCGGCTAGTGCGAGCCGACATACGCGAAATCGCGATTCCGGCCAAACATGGTCTCGGAAAAGAGGTCACAGGTCAAAGGTCATTTGGGTCAGGGTCATGAAATTTTCAGGGTAGGTGTAAAATTGATCAATGCGAGGGTACTGAAAGTTTCGTCGCGATCGGCCGCTTTTTACGCGAGTTATTCGCGAAAACCCATGGGGGGGTCCATCCGACCCCTCCCCCCCCTACACATGCGAGGGTTAACGCGCAATACCGGTGAAGGGGGCGCGGGCGAGGTAGCGTGGTGGGTCCGTGGTGTCATTCGCAAGAAGCACTGCTTAGCGGGGGACCCTGGCCCACAGCAACCAATTTAACCGTTCGAAAAATATCTTCCAAAAATGACCCATTTAATTGCCCCAGCAATACGTTGTGTGCATATAGATTTTACATTTATGTTGTTTACCTTTATGGGATATTTTTTGCATGGATTGTATTTTAGATAAGTAGAAATATTATGTCTTGCTACATCGATATAAAACATATTCCTCATATAATCTGTTCCTTCATAAATTTGCTGCACAGCATTATATGCTCAATGTCTCACTGCCCAGAGTTAGCCAGATAAATCACCGGACATCACTCCCAGGCGAGGGTGACGAGGAGCGTGTCGCCGTCTCGCGCAGTTTGCTCTGCGTGGAGCGGCCAGTGCGCTCCGTCTCCATCAACATTCCACTGTCTGGTCTGTCGACTCTGGTCGCCCGTGCGTCTCCTCCCCTCCCCTCCCCTCCCCTCCCCTCCCGGAGGCAGATGGGCGGCTGACCGGACCAGCGCGGCGGTCAGGACCCCCGGCAGAGAGGCAGTCAGCAGAGGCGTGTCCGATAGGTGAGCTGCTCCCCCCGTCAGAGACGCTCAACTCGAACGTGGATGGATGCTGCTTGACACGTGTTGAGCGCAGGTCAGCTGGTGTGGCCGCGCGGCGGTGTTTTGACTGGCCGTGCAGGGGCTGACGCGGCGCGGGCCGTGGTTCTGGTGAGCCCGGCCGCCGTAGCCGGCCGCGCGCGGAGAACGGCCGGTCGGAATTAGCCCGGCTGAGTTATGCACCGTCTGAGAACGGACGCTATTTGTGTTGGCCGCCGGCTGGCTCTCGTCAATCACACATGTTTTATAAGGTGATTTCGTGTGCCGAACTGCATGAGAGATGTTTGTGAACACCATGGGTGTGTTCCTCTCGCTTGCTGTGCGTCTGAAGTTGGAAGTTTTTCATCCAAACCACAATGGCATGTAACCTCTGAGTCGGCTGGGTGTCGACTGTCGACTGTCGTCAGCGTGCGTCTCTCTCAGAACAATGGCTGTCTCGGCGCTGCCTCGTCTGAAAACAGGCTGCGTTGCCAAGTCAATCCTGACCCGGCCATCAATATTGTCGGCGGGCTAACCTGCGGGGTCTCCTGACAGTGTGAGATTTGCCGATTATCCGAAGGGTGAAGACTCGTTTACAGAAGGAGGATGTGATTCACCGTGTCCGGAAGTCTAAAACTGAATCTGGTGTTCGACTGCCAACATGGATTTGATGAGAGCTTAAAAACAGCTTGTTTTACTTGCGTTGTTGGAGGTGTCTAATGGCTCGCAGCGTGATGAGCACAGCAGGCTCTATACTAACGAAGCTGCTTAGTTTTGGGGATCGTTTACAAAGTCGCAAGTTCTTGAAATTTTGATGTCATCTGACATTAATCAGGATGACGGCGGCTAATGGGTGCAAAATATGATTTTGAAAAGATGCATTTTGTTGAGGAAAATTTCCATCATGGTATCATAAATTGGCGTTGATATTTGGTACAAAGCAATGCTGTATGGTGTTGCATACCTATAGCCGTAACTTTTACTTCGATTTTCTTATACCAAACGGTAATTTTGGATGCGCTCTACAAATAGGGACGAAGACATGTTTATTTGAATGAAAAGTTCAGTATGACCTTTTTTAAGTCTGATAAGGCTCGTCTGCTGAAATTATGATGCTACAAAATATGACTTGCATTGAGCTTCGTTGGGTGACATGAAAACGGCAATGACCATTGCGCGGATAAAGTTTAAATCTAATCCCACTTTACAAAAGATAAAACTGGGTGCAAACTGTAGACCTGGATAAGTGTGTTTTTAAGTCATCCACTGTCCACAGAGGCTTACAAAAAGGCATACTTTTTATTCATCAACAGTCTAAGCTATCAAATGACAATGATGAATAAAATCGTATTCTGTCTTATCTAATACCCACTCCCAAAATCTGGTTGCAAGTCGCATTATCCACTAAGTCACTCGTGCAGCCCTCTCCGGAACTCCGCTTCTCGCACTGACACGCACCACTCGCCTTCAGTCTCCCCTGCGAGCACCCGTGAGCGTGACACCGCGCATCTGAGGTGCCGTGTCAGCGGGGCTGTCAGCCGCGACTCCTGGCCCTGGCGCCGCATCAAAGGGTGCACCGGCCACCAGTTGGGCGGCGCCCGCTCTCCGGCCGCGCCGGGCCGCGTGCACTGGTCGACATGGCCCGGCTGCGGGTACTCACCATCACCTCAGGGAGAGGGAGGGAGGGAGAAAGAGAGGGGGTGATACGGCGCGGCCGGGAGACTCTCTCCAGGAATGCTTTGATCCAGGGCACATAACAATGCCGTGGGTATTTATGGATAGCTGCCGAATAATTGAAGACTCCGCCAGCCAAGGTGGTGTTCGCAGACACTTGGCATGGAGAGGAGTGGGGGTCAAGACTTGGGCCAGATCCGAGCCGATAACACTTTTTATCTTGTTTTATATAGTAGTTAGAACCTGCCTGTAGCTTTTTAAAAAGGTGTTTATGTTGAAAGTCATATATTCAGTACGGTCACTATCTTCACGCAAAGTGACAGACACTTGACAATGTTGACAATGTTGATAACGTGACAACTGACAATGTTGGGTATACAGCAAAATGTATGCAAAAATGACATCATGCATGCTCAGTTACACTTACCGCCCATTTAGGTCGGCACATGGTTATTCACTTTGTATTGGGATTTTCTTTAGGCTTTACAGCACAATTTCACGTAAACCACGAATGCTTAGCGCTCCGATGTGCCCTTGTGGCTTTTCCAAAATGTCATCATATTTGCGAATCGTTTTAATCCCTCTCTCCGATGGAGTCTGTTCACACTAAAAGCTGAGAGAGGTGAGCTTTCGGAAGTGAAGACATCCTACGAGTATAGTAGGTATGCAGCTCACTTTTGGCAGCAGTAGGTGCCCACTACCCTGGCTGGTAGAGGGCGTTACGTGACGACCATTGGGGAGCTATCCCAGCGACTGCAGAGGGCGCGGCTTTACCTACATCCCGGAGAGAAGTGCAATAGAGGACGCGCAACTGCAACCAAGACATGCACCATAATGAGGCGCATTTCATGTACTTTTGTAGTGGCCGGGGCCCTCATATTCCACCAGTGGTATACACCGTATGTTGATGATCCATGATGCAAGCGACCAACTGCATGATCTCCTCATAGGTATGTATCCGTATCCATTTTAAATCCTTGTAACTATCTACATGTATATCTACTTATGTATACCTATCTACCTACCTACCTACTTACCAACGACAGTATGTATATAGTAGCACGTTTTGGCAGTGGTCGACAAACGACTGAGCAACCAGTGTGAGCCCTGGAAGTCAGCCCTGCACGTGATCGCACGGTTGGGTGCTCGTGAGTTGCACTACAACCGTGATTCATGAAAATACGAAACTACATAGCTTAATGTCTAACGATATGCGACGTTTCAACGTGATCGGCGTTATTATATCGAAACAATCATGACACCTGATTCAAATAGGTACGGTGTGGTAATCCGTGGTGAGCCCGCAACACACCACCATGGCAGCCTGAACTGATGGACGACGATGCCTCTCCGTCCTTAGCGCTTCTCGTCGTCTGACAGACCCAGACACGGACGCGTCTCACTGTGCTGCCTCTCCGGGGCAGTGTCCGTCTCCGAGATCTGGCTGCTCAGGTCCTTCCACGCTGCTCCAGACCCTCCCTCGGCTGTCGCAGCCCCTTCTGAAGCTGCCTTGGCTCCTCTCCTAGCTGCTCCGGCCCTTCCCACAGCTGCTCGTGTCGTCTCTTGCGGAGCTGGCCGGGCTGCCACCTCTCCACCCGCGATGTCCACTCCTCGTCTGAGCCACACCGCTGCTCGCCACCGGCCTTTCTGCCGCCGCCGCCGTCCTCCTGTGTCGGTCCTGGAATACGGCGGGTCAGGCAGAGGTCAGCGCGACTCACACAGAGGTAATGACTGGTCAGGTAGAGGTCAGGGTAGGTCAAGCAGAGATCAGGTCAGGTCAGACAGAGATCATTGTAGTTCAGTGTCGGGCAGCAGGACGAAATTCGAGAGTCGGACTGTAGTCAGGTACTCGCCTTTGTATGGAGTGTAAGATGCTGTCGCCCTGACGCCGCTCACAAAGTATGTAACTATGTAAGTAATACAGTCAATCGCCTCCACTCTGGATTGTCGCATTTTCGTTCATATAGTGCTTCTCTCCACCTTAATAATATTCCGTCAGTGTTATAGAAGCCAAACCAGATGACAATGCAGCGGTAATAGTCATGGTGATGACTATACTCTGTTCCGTTTCAAGTTTGCAGCCGAAGTGCCCTGCTGAAAGCAGTGCGTGATTTCTGTATATATAGCTCTTACATTTTAAGACGCAAATTCTTGAGAGGAGGAGCGATCTGCCGAAGAAACTCCGACTGCAAACTTGGTATGGAACAGACTATAGCAGCTAAAAACAAAAACAAAAAACATCACGCTATCTCACCTTGCTGAAGCCGTTGCTGCTCCAGCAGAGCCTTGTCGCTTTCCTTCTCCAGATCCGTCTCCAGTTCCTTCTGTAGGCACTGGTATCTTCTCCCGCATACCTCGAGATGTCTCATCGCTTCCTCCTCTAGCCGGCAGTTTGGATATCTCTTCTCTAGCTCTAGTGACTCTCGTCGATGTCTCTGCTCCATCTCTTGCCACTGCAGATGCAGCTTCTGCTGAAGACTGTCCCATTGCACCTGGTGATTTTCCTCCAGCTCTTTCCACCTTTGCATCTGTGATCGTGTTCGCATTTTCTGATTCTGATTCTGATGAAGCTCTATGCGTTCGTTGTAGTGATGCAAGCGCAAGCCCCACCACCCTTGGTTGTGTTTCAGTTGTAGCTTCTGGCGCTCCTCAGCGTGTCTTTCGTTCAGTCTAAGTTTGTGCCGGTAGCCTCGTCGCTCCGTAGCTCTCCACTGCACCTCGTGTTGCTGCTCCAGCTCCTGCCAGCGCCGCTGGTGTCTCTGCTTCAGGAGCCGCCACCGCTCCTGGTGAAGGGGAGGCACACCCTCCGACGTCCGCTCCTCGTCTCCGCCGCGCTGCTCCTCGTCAGTGGTTTCTCCATCGTTGTCAGATTGTGGCGAGCCTGAAATTCACTGTAGGTCAGGCAGGCTACCCAAGGGACCATCGACATACGAGCATATCAGCAGCAGACAAGAATTGCAGGTTGAAAATGCTCGAGGATGAAAAGCGATGATAATGAGGGAATGAGAATAAAACAGGGCTGCGGAGTCAGAGTCGGAGTCGGAGTCGGTCGGAGTCGACAGTTCTTCCGGGAGTCGGAGTCGGAGTCGGGGTTGGTTTTTGAAAGCCGGAATCGGAGTCGGAGTCGGAGTCGGAGTCGGAGTCGGAGTCGCCGAAAATCCATCGACTCCGCAGCCCTGGAATAAATTACATCCTTGTACGAAACCTCGTCATTTATATGGATGAGCTCTATGCGTTCGTTATAACTGTAACTGTACCTGTGACTGTGAAACCGACCCATGGGTTTCATTATGGGGAGTTGCGACCTCTCCCATTCTCCCCATGATGCCCCTGGCACCGGCTGTGGCAGTTATCTCACCTTGTGTGCCGGTGTCGTCCACCGCCAGGTAGTATGGCATCAGCTGCCATCGCACAGTGGCCCTTTTTCAGAATTAGCACGCATAAATTCAAAATATTTTTTCTCTTCTTTTGAGTAAAAAGCAGTCTAATCGTGTGCAAAACATTCCAAACTATCCGATGGTGCCATTTTTACCTCCTAAAAAAATAATTATCTTTGGTAAAACTGACCGCAAAATCGAAGTTTGTCGAGAGGCGCGCGGACACCACCGGCGGACCCTAAAAAGTAGGGTGATATGAACATCAATTTGTAAGGCTTTCGGTGAGAAAATATTAAAAATTAGTAGCATGGCTGTGAAGCTGAGTTTACGTAGAAGCCCTAGAAACCACAACTTTCATTATATAAACTGAAATACAGGGTGTTTCACTAAAAGTGTCAAAAAGTAAAAGGCCCTAATGCACATAATAACTATGTTTTCTATGGACATTTGCACATCATTCCATCCGCGATTGTTGGACATTTGAACATATAAAAATGATATCACCGTCACTCAAACCTATTCCACATATCCGCCGCTTCTTTTGATGCACCGTTTCGGCACGTGTCCGGAGGTGCCTCACAGCCCGTTTTCATCTTCAGCGTCCAGACTGTCGGCAAAGCCTTGCATTGTGCTCTTCAGCTCCAAAAGTGATGCGACTTAAGTCTTCCTCAGCTCTGCGAGAGCTACTGACCAAAACCAGAAGGCTAGCGGTGACAGATCGGGGCCTCGCGCTGGCCAGGGGCGGGCGGTGAGGCAGCTGATTATTCGGCCTGGGAACGGAACTTCTGGACTGGTCCAGCCAGTTCTTGGTGGCTACAGCCGTTACAGTGGTTGTTTCTGATAAATTGGGGGCTTGGCTATGTCTGATGTTGAAATAAGCTTCTTGTTATCTTAAAAGGCCCTAAAAAAGACCCTGACCTTTTCAACGATTTCCGCCGAGAGGTGGGGCGACCCGCCTTTTTTTTACTGGAACCGGCATCAAAGGAACCCTTTTAAACCTCTCAAGAAGCCCTTTGAAACTTTTATAATCTGGGTCGTAGCGAGGTGAGAGAGTGAAACGTTTCCTGAAAAGTCGGCGTACGGTTTCAATGTTTCTGATAGCACCAAATGTAAGTGTAATCCACCGCTCCTGTTGCGGTGTAAATAACCTGTTCTTGTTCTGTATAAGAAAAAAAAAACGACTAGTAACTTTGGCCTCCTGCCCTCGCTCCGTATGAGTGTAAAATATATCTTAAATGGCCAAAGCATAAATGTCCAAAAATTTGCAACAAAGCCACGTGCGCAACCACGTGCTTTGCGTATTTTATATATCTTTAATAAGCATTTACTTTTTGACACTTTTAGTGAAACACCCTGTAGACCACTTTTGCCGAATATTGTGGACACAATAACAGGACAATTATTAACTGGAGATGGCGGCATACATATGAAGCTTTATGTTAAGTAGCACACTCTGGAACATGTCGTATTATACATCGTTCGAATCGCCGATCTCTTCTGACCATGTCCACCAAAGGGCATCGCGCCATTTTGCGCCATTTTGCTTCTACGGTGGAGAACGTGAGCCAGTTCAGTCCGCGAGCGGCTGAGGCTCCTGTTCGATACGACTAAGCTCATTGACCTGGCTCGAAGCTGGTGTCACCTGGTGGGCGCCTAAATGTGGCTTGACTTTTGCCATAAGATGTGCTTATTGAAATGTCATGTAGGCATAACGCTGTGCTCAAGAAAAACTGTCCGATTTCTTGTCGCGTTTGATGTCCAAGCCGCACAAGTCCCGTGGTCGGCTTAAGATCTAACGTCAAAAGCGCCTATGTGTTTGTATTGTTCGCGTCGCGCTGACCTTAGTTGCTGCCCGGCCGGGGCCGACTAACGGTGGCTGGCAACAGCTGCAGATGCGGTCACGTGACGCCCTGGGGCGTCCCACAGTGATGCAAATGGGGTTCACGAGTGGCCATAAATAGTAAATACCCAAAAGTCAAGTTTACCAAATCGAGTTAATTGCGATATGGCCGAGTAGACAAATGTTTGGGGCATCTGAAATCACATGGTTTTCATGTTTTTGTCAAAACCGGTCTCGTGTATCATCGTCAGAAGTCGTGACATTTTCTAGGTCGTAAAATGACGGTCAGACACTCGCAAGTTCAAACGCCGCTGGTTTGCGTTCATTTCGTACAAATTGAAAAAATTATGCATGAGAATGATCCCCAAAGCCTTCTGCTTCTAATACCGGGTCACAAAAAGCCGTATTTCATTCGCTTTGGCGGTAATCTGACTATTTATCATCGTGTTGCAATCGCAGTTTTTTACTAAGAAAAAATTGCTTTCGTTTCACCTACAGCACTTAACACAGTGTGTGCCCGTTAGTCCACCATACCATAGCCTTCCCTAATCATTTCTGAGTCGCATCGTGAAAGAATTAAGGCGCTATCACAGGGCTGACCGGCGCTACAGAGGTTTTTGTCCGGGCGGTCGGGTGCCGCAGTGGGCGCGCAGTGGGCGGGTGGGTGCCGCCGCGCGGCGTCCGGGCGGCGCGGCGGCGCGGCCGCCCGGGCCGCCCGCTGCGCCGCAGCACCCGACCGTGCCGGACGAAAGCTTCTGTAGCGCCGGTCAGCCCTGTGCTAGCGCCTTAATTCTTTCACGATGCGACTCAGAAATGATTAGGGAATGCTATGATATGGTGCACTAACGGGCACACACTGTGTGAAGTGCTGTAGGTGAATTGAAAGCAATTATTTTTGGTAAAAAACTGCGGTTGCAACATGATTACAAATAGTTAGCTCACCGCCAAACCAAAATAGATACGGCTTTTTATGACGTGGCATTAGAAGCAGCAGGTTTCGGGGATCATTTTCATGTATAATTTTTGCAGCTTGTATGACATGAACGTACGCTAGCGGCGTTTGAAGTTGCGAGTATCTGACAGTCATTTTACGACATCGAAAATGTCTCGACTTCTGACAATCCTATACGAGGCCGGTTTTGACAAAAACATTAAAATCATACTTTTTCAGACACCCCAAACATTTGCCTGACTGACCATATTACGATTTATTCGATTAAGTGAACTTGAATTTTGGGCGTTTTTCGTATTTATGGCCACTCGTGAACCCCATTTGCATCACTGTGCGTCCTGGCGGTCAGTGCAGCGCGGTCGGCTGGCGGGCTCGCCACACTTGCGTTCGGAGCGGCCTGGGCCGGCGGGCGAGCCGTGCGAACGTGCGCCAAATCTTGGGCCGAGCGGCCTGTCGCTGTTGGGCCGAATCTCCTTGGGCAGTTCGTTTCTTTTCTTGTCTTTGCATTGGCAGGGAATACGTCCTTGATCACGTGGTGATGTCTTGCACCACTTTCAGGTAATGTGGGAATTAATGCGTGCTAATTCTGAAAAAGGGCCACTGTGCATCGGTCTGCCCACCGGCTCACGGCAGTATTGTAAGCAGTCCGCAGCCGGTCAACGGACAGCAGCTGCTGCAGCAGCCGGCGCCAAAGGCCGGCCGTGGCGGCCACCGTCGGACCGTCCATCTCCGGTAGTTTGACACGGAGAGTTTCTTGCAGGTCACAGCTGAGCTGTCGCTCCAGCGTCTCCCGGCGATGCTGGTAGGTGGGCGGTGGTCCGTAGTTGTACGTCCACCTTGTTTCCACCTCCCGGTCTAACTCCCGCCACCGATCCATCTCCTTCGGCACGGCCTCGCCGAAAGCCCGGAGCAGCAGTTCGGGTTGCAACAGCAGCTCAGCCCGGCCCCGTGGCGTGCGCAGTTCGGCGGTCAGGCCGGCCGGCCGCTCCGCCGGCGGCCGCCGCAGCTGCTGGCCACTCCAAACATCCACCGCAGCCGGGTCGCCCAGCAGAAACTTCAGGTCTGACGCGGTGAGGATTTGTGTCAGAGGCGTTACGTCCAGTATGACCATGTCACTGGTCGGTGACGTGGGGCGCGTCCCGCCCACCAGGTCGGCCGGGTCGACCACGCCCCAGGCCATGAACAGGTAGCATTGCCGGCGGTGCGCCCCCGAGAACATAAAGTGCCGCCACTGGAGTAGATAGGGAGCCGCGCGCGCCAGATGAAGGATCGCCCACTTCCACCAGCTCACCCAGCAGGGAGCTGTGGCTCGGAGTCTGGTGCCTTCAACCACAGCCTGCCGGACGAGCGTCCGTCCCAGTCGGAGCCGCAGCTCACGCTCTGAAAGTGGCTCCTCCTCGCCCTCAAGAAGTATTTCTAGACCCCACCACTTCTCGCAGCAAGCGATCATGAGGTGCGTAGCGCTCTCCTTCATCACTTTGAGGCAGTCGATGATGGCTTGATGTTCGCCAGAGCTCAGTTCGGCCGCTACATTGATTCCATCATAGAAGAAGCATGGAAGCGTGCCAGCGATGAAGCGATCCTCCAGCCAGCTGAGGGCCCTATGGACGCCATCAGTTACTCCCGTCCACAATTCGCTGGGCGTGTCCTGAGCCAGCCAGAGGATTGCTGTCTTTACATGGTAAGACTTGAGCTTTAGGTCATGAGGTATCACTCCGCTCTCCACCATGAACTGTTTCATATTTTTGATAATTTTGATGATGGCTCTTTGCATAGGCTGCAAGTGGCGGGCAGCGATCACCTCTGCCCGTGAGAGAGATATCCGATATTCTTTTCTTACAGTCGCGCTTCCAGGGAAACCAGTCGGCACCAAATGTACACCGAACTGCCGGATGTCGTCCCGCGCCGCCGCCGGAGGGAAGTCGGCCTCCAGGTGGCGGCTGTCGGGCCAGTTCGGTGACGGCCACCATCCACCGACAGAGAAACAAAACACGTAGTCGAAACCGCCGTGTCTATCGCCTGCCCGCCGGACGTTGACTGCTGGACCGGTGAACGTAATATCACCGTCTTTGACGACGCGGTAGAAATCGAACAAGAGCTGACGTGCCGAGTCGGCCGACAGGGCCTCGAGCGCCGCTTCGTGGCTACACTCGGTCGTTCGGACCCAGTGGAGCGTCACGAAGCCGGGGTTGCTGGTCGGGCGGACCCACAGCTGCGGTGCAGACTGCGGACGAATGTCAGTCGGCTCTGTCCCCGCCACCGCCCAGCGGAATGGGCCGTCGAACTCTAACATGATGTCAAAATCCGACGTGCCCCCCTTACCGATAACCAGATCTGTCAGCCCCTCAGCGCTGCTGCCCGATCTGTTGCAGGTAACAAACCTGAAAGGTTGACGAGGCTGGCAGTGCCGGCACCGGGCGGCGGCGGCGGCGGACCTAACCTCAGTCAAAGCTGTCATTAATGGCTCGTCTACCAGGTAAGCGACGGCATCGCCAACCTCCAAGCCGGTGGTGTGACCCTGTCGTCCGGGACCATTGTTATTCACAATATCTTCCGCCACCAACAGTGTGTCTGGAACCAGATGGACCCACGAGCCACACTTGCTGATCACCTGTCCCACCGTTGAATCCAAACTCTTGATGAGTCTCCTCGTCCTCTCTTTGTGCGCCGCTCCGAACAGATCAGGGCGTGACATGGTCGAACTCTGGTCACTTGCCTGACACGGAGTGGTTGGGAAAGGTCGTCTTCTGATCGCTGTCTAGTGAGGACTGGTCGAGATCGGTCAGCGCCGTCACGGACATATACGGACCCCGACGGCCGAGATAAGAGCGGAAGTCAGTTGCCCGTTGCCGTCCGCCGGTAAACCCGGGCTGTGCACTGTGCACAAATAGTGTATGCTGTTCCATGATTACCCGCGGTGGGCGAGCCATGCCAGGCACAGAGCGGAACCAGTGGTGGAGGTTTTAATAAGTTAGAGCCTACAATCAAGCTCAGAATTGCATCTGACATCTAACATCATTTCAGTTATCTACGTGCTTGGTAGTGCTGGAAACTGATGCCTTTTTGTATCTAATTATAAAAATGAACTGCCGTAGAAACATAGCTTATGGTGCCTATGAGAAGTCCGACATTTGCACATATTTTCTATAAAAAGCAGTTGCTCCTGCAACTTACAACATTTGTTAACCCGCGCACCGACGGGGGGGGGGCGGTTAACCGCACCCCATGCGGTTTTTCGTGATCGCGGAAAAATTGCGGCGCATAGCGCCGCGAAATTTACCATGACTTTTCCCTTATCAATTTTACACATGGTATGCAAGTTTGAGCCTCCTAACCTTCAAAGTCAGGTCACCAGGTCACTTCGAATGACCCAGCCTCAAATCACTTTTTTGCAACTTTGTTACCGTGTATGTACAGTAGATGTGCTACAGTAGATGACGGAGGCCTTTGAAAGTCGTAGAATGCAATGAGGTCATTGATAGCCTCAATCTTTATATCTCGGAGTGTTGATATTGATGACCTGAGGTCAGGTCAATTTCTTGACCTCCCCACTATAAGTCAATGGGGGAAAATCAACCCCCTGTTTTTCCACTAAAACGCGTCGGAATGGCCCAATATACCATGAATGACTTCATATACGATCAACCTTGACTACCTTGAGGCCTTTTTTGCTCTTGGGCAACTGTAAGGTCATGTGACGTCATCAAGGGTCACCAAAGGTTTTTTGCTAATAACTGCTTATAGGGAGCGAGATACAGCCGCGCAGATGCTCTCTTTGTGTTCAGCTCGTCAAGGCGCATTGGACGATATGCATGATGACCTTGAGGTCACGTGACCTGAGGTCAACCTTTGACCTTGAACTTTCGAGGTCAACACATATATGGTTGGATGCGGATTGACGAGAGAATTAGGATGGTGACATTAATTTGTTCCTAGCTTGGCTACTTCGAAATTTATTTGGAGAAAAACTCTTCGTTTCTAGCGCCGCCATTTTGACTTTTTAACCCCTGTGGCTTCATGTTTGGCCTGACATGAAAATTGTAGACCTTGTCCGTGCGTACCCCATGCCGTTTACCGAGTAAACTGTGTGTAAAATTGAGTAAAATGTGTGTCATTGAAAATCATCGATGGGAAAATGCCCATAAAACACATATTTTGCTATTTGAGGTCACTGATACCAGGTCAGGTCACAGAGCTCAGGTCACTGAGGGTCAAAATATGGAAATATCATGTGATGCATGTTTTATGGTCCATTTTACATGACAAATGCGATGATGTGGGTCAGGCAGCCTTTTGTGGCCAGTTGTTATTTCTGGTGCAGGTCAGGTCAAGGTCAGGTCCAATAAGGTCAAATTTCAAACTTGTAGGTTTTTTTGCAATAAATGGGTATTGAATTGATTCGATACAGCTCGTCACGGGGATTCTAATGGTGGTCTTTGTTTTGCGCTACGTGGTCTTGTCTAGAATAGCTAAAAATTAAGTTGGAAAATTTGACATCAATTTTGAACAGTTTTTTTTCGCTATATCTTGGCCAAAAAAGGAGCTATCGATCTACAATTTGTTATGTAGATAGAAGAGGGTAGGGACTATCATTAACATTCCGTTTTTCGAAATTCGAAAAAACCTTTTGGTATATGTTTGCTCTTTTATCGAAAAAAAAAAACATTTTTGTTGGAGTCAAAACAACGTGTTGAAAATCCGAGATAGCAGTTTTGTAGCGCCGTATTTTCTCTACACGACCATTCAATAAACTTTGAAATTGCTCGTTTTGTTAACTGTAGCTTTTGTTAGCGTTTCAAGATTTCATATTTTTTGCTCATTTTTGCTCGAACGTAACCTCAGTTTGACCTCAATAACTCCTGTCCTAAGATGACCTATGACTTGAAATTTTTATGATGGTGTCAAATTGATGACTCAAAAGGTACTGTAAATTTGGCGGCTCTGCGCGCCGCCGTTTTTTCGCTATTCAAGAAAAAACACGGGGGTGGGGCCAAAATGCCCGCCATCAGGGCGCGGGATATAAGACCCCCTCCACGGGTGTTAAATTACTTAAGTCGAGCGTAAGCCAAAGACGCTTTGCGATCACAACTGCAAGGCCTTTCATGTCGAAAGGCTAAGAAAATACAGTGTTATTGAGACCAAAACACTTCCGAAGTGCTCGAACAATGCGAAAATTAGCATAACCAAACGAAAACCAACGAATGACCAACGAAAGTTATCGAACCAATCGAGATCAGCTATTATCACCATCTCTGTTTACCCAACAGGACAAAACGAACTCAATAAGTGCTCGCAAGCAGTATTACCTCGTAATTGGAAGATACATATCACCAACCAGTAGCGGCGGAAAACCTTCAATTAAGGGGGCGGGGGGGGGGGGCACTGCCGACTTTTGGTCCCATTCTTTCCATGCAACGCCCATAGGGCTAATATTAAAATGCCAAAATCAAAGGAGGGCACGGTGCCCCGGTGCCCTCCCCGTTCCGCCGCCTATGTCACCAACATACCTATGATCGCTCCTTGCAGGGGGGGGGGGGGGGGCGTCTTATCATCCTCAAAGGGAAGGCCTCTAAAAAAACGCAGTGTTCTAAACGTCAAAAATATTTATGTTTCATGAGACATTTGTAGCGCACCAGAACATGGTCTATCCTTAAGCTAATTTGGGACAAATTCGATTGGATAAGATAACTAGCAAGAACAGGGGAAAATGAGAAACAGACGTACCAAAAGTCACCGCAACGCGCCTGCTGCTCCGGGTTTCGTGACTTGTTGTTTCAAATGAGTGTCTGCCTTACAAGAACATTTAATGATAATAATATCATTGGTTTGGTAAAAAGGCGCTGGTGCCTCTTACCGACCCTAGGCGCCTTAACGGATCTCCCCTATATGTTAGTGGCCAGAGCCACTGTTCCACATTTCAATACATTTTTTGTGCTCACAAAGGGTCACAAAAGGTGACAGACTCTGGACTCACTGCAAAGGTCACAGTAGCGATCTGTGGCTGGTATGTACGGCCCTCCAGGCATTTAGTGGTTGGTTGCCAACCTCACAATAAGCGATCTGCATTGATGAATACGTCTAATGGCTGTTGAAAACCATTGCCGAAGTGTGTGCACGAACCCTCTTCGCATATCTAACGAGTCATATTACAAGTGTCTCTGTCATTCAAAGTTATTACACCAAAAGCACATAGGCTAACCAACCACTCTTTTGCTGGAGGGCCGTACGTATGTGTTTCCTGTCGTTTTTTGTCGGCTGGTAATTTTCGGGGAGCCCCTGTCGGTCCCCGGGATATTGAAGAGAGTAGATGGCGTAGTTGGAACGCCCTCCGATTGTGAGGGGCCTCATTTTTAAACTCTGTGTTGTGGTGAATCACTGGGACCACTATACGCATGCATGCCTACTTTATAGCCTGTCATAAGAACAATCAACCTGGGTTTGATAAAGTGACGTTCGTAAAATAGCAACTGTCGTAGTATCACTATTTTGCGTCGTATTTTAGAAGTAGTTTTTCCGTTGAGTCATAGTGCCATTGACGCCCGGCTTCCGCGTCGCATTCTTCTGCAATAAGTGCCTGATTCATAGATAAAAAAACCCAGTGGACCTACCCTCATCTCCGGCTGAATTGACAATGTGTCACGCTCTACTGGCGCTTGCTTTGATCAGTTGAACAAAGTGTGGCTGCTGGCGCTCTTGATCCTGTATCAACTCCACGCAACGGCCTACGATAACGTCGTAAGTTCCGACCGATGCGGGACCAATGCACTGGCGGTATAGTTGGGGCTCACTGTAGATACGCTGGCATTGGACTGTACCACGTAAGGTACCACACATCTGGTAGCCGCCAGAACCGAAATGAAGTACAACGGAAGCATTGGTGACTCATTCGATAGAAAAAAAAACGACGCATTGATGAATTTTGCACAAAAGCTGACAAGTTGTGCAGAGACAAAAATAAATAGCATTGCACCATCAACTCACCGTGTCGGTCCCGTGCTACATTGTAATTGCCGAGTTAAGCGTTCCGGCACTTTTACGCCATTCGAGGTGACACTGATTGTAGGGTAAGGTGCCTAATTAGCGACCTCCTTAATTTGAACCGTCATTGCTCACGCTCTGTGGGTGCCACTGTGTTACTGGCTTGATTTTCGGAGAGATCGTTCATTTTTCTATTAAAATACAGTCATTTTCTGCCCCAATATTCACTAACTTATTTGTAGTGAGCATTTTGGCAAACCATTGCAAAAAACGCTAATAGGGAACTCTTCCTGATTAGCGACCGGGGAGGGTCGCTAATAAGTCTATGGGTTTCCCCATATTAAAAATGGCAAAAAATGCGACGCCTGAAAAGATGAAATATGATCTCAAAAAGGTAACCGATACGCAAAGCACTCAATCACTCGAACAGGAACGTTTATCCAACACATTTACGTAAGTTAAAACTGATCACGTGATGCACCGAAGGCGAAAAGAAGGCGGAAACCCAAATTTTGCGGGCTATCTTGTATGATATTCGAGGTCCGCGCTGAATTCGGCACCCCTGCAGTCGGTGACGATATTTGGCATCTCCTGCCACACATTGCAAGCTTCAGCAGCACCTCATTTTCATTTCTCTCTTTTCCCCTTTCTTTCCCTTCTTGAGCTATTTGCGACCATGTCAGGCGCAAATAGGAAATATGAGTTGCGAAACATTTTTAACCGCCATACTGTGCACAGTTGAGCGATTCACTATGGGAAAACGGCAATCAATTAAAAAAGGAATGTCGATTCAGAATAAAAAGGTGCACCATCCTAATGTGCATCGCTTTTCATCAGAGAGGGCCCAAACACACACGTTTTGGATAAGAAACTCGTCATTTTTATTTAAACTCACTTTAAACGTCCCACCAGAAACATCGACGACCGGAAAATAATTAAATTTGATAACCAAAGTATGGCTGATCTTTTGACGATGTTTTTACCCCGTCTTCTCCTGCCAGTTTTTCTGTAGGGAGGTAGGTCGCAAATCGGAAAGGGTCGCTAATTAGGCACCTTACCCTACTGATTGTAATGACTGTGCTCAGCACTCAGCAGGTATATATGAGATGAGATGAGATTAGATGGATGAGATGAGATGAGACATCCCAGCCTTTCGGCCGAAATATGCGTCTGGACAGATATTTGAAAATCTAAAAACAACCAATAATCGGGCTTTCTACTATCATTTGCAAAGTTGCATTTTATCACACTCTTATAAGATCGGCAATAACGGCAGCCCACATTAACAACATCCCCAGTCATCGATTTCGGCGCTTGTGACTTTATCATCGAATGCTAAAAAAAAAATCATTAAGTTGTGATGCCTACTGATATAATTGGGACCAACTTACAGACAACAATACCTTGAATCCTTGTTACAATTCCAGACAGTTGTTCCTACAACCATCTGGAAAAGCGGCACTTGACCAATGGCGACCGAAATTTTCGACCGCTAATGTTTCGCGTTTACAAAGCTCGTGAGCTACGGGTGCTGGCTCTGCAACTTAATTAATATCAGTTCAGCGACGAAACTCCCGAACCATCCGAGCCGAGCTTATGAGTCATTCAGGCTCAGTCGCTGGCCAGAGGCTTGCGGTACAGCATGCTTCAGGCGCTTGATACAAGTGACATCTGTAGGGGAGAGTAGGAACTACTGTGTAGTGCGGCACAGCGTGTTACAGGCGCCCGCGTAGAGACATCTATAGGCCGGAATGGAAACTATAGAATGCATAGTGGCACACCACAGGTGTTCGCCCTCTGGGATCTGATTACAGGAAATTGCACTGGGATCTGCGGATGTAAGGGGCAAGAGGAGCACGATTAACACTTACACCCATGTCCCCTTTTGGGCTCGAATTATACATTACACCCCGGCCGTGACCCGTGTATAAAAAGAAAAGATTCCAAAAAGGGTCTCGATTAGCCCACCTTTGGCGATCCCTTTTCCAGTTCCAGCTGCGGCGTCCGTAATAGACTGCATGTCGTCGGAGACCACTGTAACGCATGAAATTGGTGAATCTTGTTTTCATGTCTACAAGCCGTCCATAGTTTTAGCGTCATGTGATTGACAGATCTGCCGATAAACTTACTGGTCCGTTGTCAAAGACGGTCACGTAGGTGTCGATTGTTTTATTTCGCGTCATATATAACCACACCTCTATCAAATGAGCTCGTCATGGTGGATCAAGCAGCGCGCAGCGGGTGCCACGAGGGGGCAGTTGGCACCAGGGGCCGCAGCCGAGCGCCGTTCGCTCGCCCCAGTCGGGAGGCGGTGGACGGCCCGCCTGGGCCCACTATTGGCACACGGTTAGAGCGCCGGAGATACACAGGTTAGCGGATCACGGGGCGGTACACGCAGATACACACGCGGGGCGCCTAGCCTGAGCGGGCGGCCGGCGACCGGCCGACGGGCGCCACGGAAGACGGCTCGGGGCGCCCACACCTCGCGGCGGGCACTCTATGAACACGAGCTGGTACAGGCCGCCGGCAGAGGGCGCTGAGCGCGGACCGCCTCTCCAGAGAGCGGCTCGCCGCTCTGTTCAGCGATGGCCGACACTCGGGCAGCGGGGACAACCCAGCGGCGCCGTCAGCCCCGACGGCCGACACTGATACGAGCTCAGATCTGTGCGGCGGTCACGCACGCACCAAGGCACGGGAAAGGCACCGGACTGGCGCGGGCATGGAGCGCCCCGCCTACACCTCGATCTCGAACGGCGATCCGGGGATGTTGTCGGCGCCCCAGCGGACGGCCAGAATGTGCTTGCCGCGCTCCTTGACCGTGTAGTGCACCTGGTACTGATTACGGCCCATGTGCTTGATGTGAACCTCCTCGCACGGGTTCTTGGGACCGAAACAGCCCACCCACAGAATATCCTGACCTGTGGCGCGGAGCAGAAATGGCAGGTGAGAGGGCCGAAATGAAGCGTGCCAACGGATCTGGTTAAGGTGCAGACAGCCAATACGTGTAAGTCCGGCCGATACTCCAAAGCCGAGCTTCTAGGCTTAAGGAAAGAATTGCCGACTCTTTGACGCTGACCCAATCACTCGAGCGGCATGATAATAACTAGCGCTGAGGCTGGTGCGTATATAAAATGAGCATCTGGTCAATTACTTAGCAGCTCACTACTGCCTGCTACCTAATTACAATAAGAACGCCTTTGCCACTGTGTCCTTACCTGCGGTACCGGCATCAATCTGGAACTGGTTCTGACGGTTCAGGTATGCCTTCTTCAGGCCCATGCCCTTGGACTGCACTTTGGAGGCGTCTGAGTCGAACTTGGGCAGCGAGACGACGTGTTTCTCCTGCTGTCCCTTTCGCTGTTTGGCGATGGTCTCCACCACCACTGTGGACTGCTCCTTGGGTCCCATCTCGGCCAGCTCATCGCCTGACGAAGGGTGAGGGTGAGGGTGGGGTCAGGTTAGGCAAGATAGGCTGGCTGACCCGCTGCTTTTCTACTATTATTGAGCTGTAAAAAAGTGCCGATAAAAGATGGTTGCGGGAGCAGGTTGAGAATTCTGGATACGTCATTACGGTCGATGGCGTCACCGCTCCCCAGGGTCCACCGTCATGAAGGACGGTAGCATGTGTCACTGCCACTGTTTGAGCAGCCGATGCTTTTCTTTTCATTTATAAACGCCCTCAATATTGTTCTTTTTTAGTCGGAACCCAATCACTACCTAGTTCCTACCGACATATTGGATGTATGAATATGCACTTGAGTACCTACTTATAAAAGGCACGTTCCACAAGAGCAATGACTCACAGTCTTGCCAAGATTTAAAGATTCGCCGCCTCTCTTACAACGTGCTATAAGAGCATTTATCAAGAGGCTCAGTGTGATACTCAAGTGATGCTTAAAATAGCTACTTTAAATTCCATTGACCGTTAGTGAATCAGAGCTAGGTTGAGAGTGAGTAAAACGGAAAGAAACTGGCCGTGACCGAAATAGGCCGACCCCGGGAGACGAGGGGAGGCGAGGGATAAATGAGCCTGACAGCGCGCCCGGTTCGAGGAACGTGAGTCACACTGTGACTGTGCCAAACACAGCGGCGACTCGACGACGGCACACGGTTACATTTCACACCCGGTGGAAGTCATTGCTTCGCAGGCTACAAATTGCGCTGCATGCTAGTCGTTGGACGAGCTATAGCAACTCACACCACTGTCAAAGTACCACAGTCCACACCGTTTTGATAAGACGTTTCACGCTCACGCCTGGCAACGTCTAATACCCAGAGGGCGTCACAGCCTGCATTTCTCACTGTTCGAAAAGTCACGCAGCCACTATATTACACTATTCGTGGATAGGTATCACAGAGGTCACAGCTCCAGCAACACCCTCAAGTCAGCTTCACCCGGCATTGGTGAGTATCCAGTCCACATTGCAGACTAGACGCACATGACCTCGCATATCACTGCCAACCGACTCCAGTATACGGCACCAGTGATTGGCGCTTTTACTCCCTGATCTTTGACGCTGCGCCAGCGCACTGATTCAACTGTCCACTCAGACAAGTAACGATATGCATCGCCAGGAGTAGATGCTAGAGTTTGGCACCTTTGTCCCACAGACACCCAGTCCCGCTGTCCCAGCCTTCCCAGCTCACCGTTCCTGATCCAGGCACACTGCGACTGGAACATGGCTGCCGTCACGCGGTGTCACACTGTGTCACGAGGTGTCACACGACGTGACGCACACACAGGCACACACAGACACACACACGCGCACACTGCCGCCACCCGGACGCCTGAGCCGCCACTGACAGCCGCACCACCTTTGCCCTCACATCCCTCAAAATACCGACGGACGATCGGCAAAATTTGGCAGCCCGCTGCTGGACGATCCAGGCGGAGTTGGCAGCGCTCGGTGTTTGTGCCGACACGTCATCGGGGCCTATTCGGGACGGCGGCGATACTTTTGGCGGCGCCTGCGTCATCGGGGATCCGCCGCGGTCCGCGGACGGTGTACTCAAACACAACTCCGCTGGGTTCCTCAGATGTGGCCACCGGTGACGGCATAGCGCTCAGGGAGAGCAGGCGCGGGATGTTATTCGACATGGTGTGCCCGGAAGGTGAGACATGCCGCAGTCCCGAGAAAGCGGCTGAACACAGAACTCCTAAAGTGAGGTTTGCATCGATAGGAGTAGGATAGAGTTTCATAAATGAGAACTCGTAACATTTCAGTCTCCGCTGTACTTTCCACGCATATGATATCGAACTTCAAAGATGCAGCATTACCCTAAATCATCTTTGATTTCATTACCCCTGTTAGCGGGTATTGCATTCTGAAGCTGGAAGAAAATCCGGCGGGGCAATGTTTGTAGTTCTTTTCAGCCACACTTCGCATAGCGGGCCGGCCTTTTTGCATTCACTTCAAGACGGTTTGGGCAACTGCTAGCTCGTTTTGAACAGGTGCAGGATTGCATGTGCGTTGCGAAACCAGCACGCAGCCAGGTCTGCCGTCACCCTGCCTCACTTCCTTTGCAACGAAGACTTACGACTTGTGTAAAGTAAAACAGATCCTAGCCAGATAATCGAGATCAAATCCAGTACACCAGCATTCTGAGAACGCCAGGCCATGAAGAACAACTTGTTTCTTTTTCTTATGTTGAGTTAGGCCCTTTCGGTCTTACGAGACCAATTCAGGGCCGGAAGGATAATAGGAATTAGGGGGAGACATTGGTCTGGGCGAGAACCCTGGTAAGTCGTCGGGGCTGAGTCCGTCCGAAAGGACAGGCCGACCAGCCCCAAGGTACTCACTGCACCCGGCTACGGGGTGCGCCCCCTCGGGAGCAGCGGTGCTGCTCCAAGGGAGCAGCTCGCATGAGATAAAGGTGCCTATCCAGTCCGGATAAAGCGTTGCGGCGTGGAGGACAAGGATTTCAGCATCCTGAAGATGGAAACGACGGAACAGAGGAAAGAACGGGAAGAGGGAAAGCTCTAGCAATTAGCATACATACTTTGTTCTTTAAACCCCAGCCGACAAGGTGACAAAATTACTAAGCGGACCCTGCCGGCACTTACCGGTGACCTCGACCTTGAAGGGCGAGCCGACGATGTGATAGCCGTCGTACTTGATGGCCACGTAATAGTGGCCGGGGTTGAGCGGGGTGTAGCGCACCTTGTAGCCCTCATCGACCTCGGTACAGTCCATGGCCACCTGGTGGACCGAAGGAGAATCGAAAGTGTTAAAAGCTGACACCAGGGAGATATTGAGGTAAATGCGAGGTCGGATATGTGTATCCGTCATTCAGAAGCTTAAGATTTTCTTACATTACATACCTTAAACCATTCTCTCAGCCGATTCACGGAAACCATCCCTCTAAAGTAACCTCTCGACAAATGTCTCACCTTGGAAGGTCCGTCGATGGTAACGCCCAGGGTACCGGCGCCGGCGCTGCACGTGTCGATGATAAAGTCCGACTTGTGGCCCGTGTGGCCCTTCTCCAGACCCTTTCCGTGGGCGTGCACGGCGGCCGGGTCGGCGTCCTGCCTGCCGATCTTCAGCCGGAACGGCGAGCCCGGCACGTGCACGCTGTTCCACTTGACGTGGAGCTGCGGGAGGACGGGGCAGTGGGGTCAGCCGGTTGGTGGTCTGAGAGGCCTTCAAAAACGTGACAATATGAAGGAGCGAAAGACATATTCGATAATTGAGATATGTTGATTGTCGGATATCAGAGAACAATCAATCTGCTCAGCAGATAAGACGTGATTTTATCTAAATTTCAACTTTCTATACTTTGATCAGAAGCACTGTTCAACTTCGCTGACCAACCAAGCTTCGCTCAATCAGCCATATTTAAATAGCTGTCTGAGGCCATGAACCATCGTGAGACCCGATGACGAGCACACCCCACCATAAAACATCCAGCAACCGTGTGGAACCCGGTACAACCAGCCCACCGTTCTTCACCTGGTGAATACCGTTCTCCTTGGGCAGGAATCGGACCGAGTAAGTGTCGTCGTCCAGGTAGGTGATGAAGCAGTCGTCCTCGTGACCGCTGGGATTGACCACCTTGCAGTCCATCTGGCCCTTGCAGCCGGTGCGGTCCACAGTGAAGATGATAGGCTTGTCGACCTGACGGGACAGGCGAGAAGAGATAACCGGTCAATGGTTGGATGTGAGATGAGGCTCGTAAGGAAGTAGACCTATCACAGCAGCCTACAAGATCGAAAGTGGCTCATTGTTTGATGAGCTACGAGTATGGTTATTGGATTATTGCTTCAGTTTACGGTCACACTACCCAGCAAGACCACAGGCCATCGCCATCGGCAGACCACCGATAACCCCTTAGACCACGAAGGACCGTCGACTGACCTGCACTCCGGCGTCGGGCAGCTGACCCACGGTGACCTTGTGCGCGTCCTTGTTGGCCGGGGACACAAACACCTTGTAGGGAGAGTCGGGGATGTGCGAGTCGTTGAACTTGATACCCACACGGTACTCGCCTGAAGACGGGCAGAGGTTGTCGTCAGTTCAGACTCAGGATGTTGGAAGCGAATACCAACATCGGTTACTTGTGTAGAATGTAGATGCTCGGCTAGCCTCTACATAACCTGTATGCGTTCAATTGACTGTTGGTACTTAAATAAAAATAAGTGAAGGTTCGTATAATGGCATGTAAGCATGCTAGAATAGTCAGTCTTTTGACATTCCGGGTCAGCTATGCATGGACCATTCGGTGCCACCACACTAAGACCCGTCAAAGCAGTTATGCAGGCACAAATCCCGCGAACCCTAACATCAACAGAGTCTACGTTCGTAAACAACCTTCAAGTCGCCGCTCTCTGCCAACATTTTTAGCGGAGTCATCTCCGAAAATAGTTCAGTAACGCGAACAGAAACTCGCAGCCAGTTCAGCTCCTGGTAACAAGCCATTTATAGCCTGAAGTATACAATGGCGATCAGGGAACACGCCAGCTTGAAGGCTACGCGTAGCTCTCCCCTGGAACAACACATGAGCGTCTTCTACCTAACCGTACCTGGCTCGGAGACGACGTAGCTGATGTAGCACGAGCCGTCCTGACGGTCCTTGAAGTCGATCTCGGCCTTGCTGGGACCCTCCACACTGACGGCGAGGGAGCCGGCGCCGGCCTCTCGGGTCCACACGTTGAACTCGCAAGGACAGCCCTGCTCACCCCGCTCCAGGCCGGGACCGCCGGCGTGGACACGGTGCGCACCGCCGTCCTGTGAGGCACAGGTCACAGGTCACAGGTCAGCAGTTTCCGAATTATCCAAGCATCTAAGTCGTGACCATCCGGATTGGAGTCTCACACAAACTCTGCGACCTCTTGAAGCGATCGCCACTACGGCACTCTTCTCCGCGGATACATATAAAAATACACATGCTGCACCGGCTAACACGGGTGTACTGCGGTACAGCCTACATCTCAGGCATTCTCCGCCGCCGCTAAACGCCACCTCTGCTGCTCTCGCTCTTACCTTGAGTGGTCCAACAGTGAACTGGAACGGCGACCCGGGGATGTGCACATCCCTGTAGCGCACCGACACCGTGTGGACGCCCAGCTCCTTGGGCACAAACTTCACCGCATGCAGGCTGTCCTCCAGCTCCGAGATGGACGCATCCTCGACCACACCGCCCGGCGAGGCGACAGAGGCGGAGAGCTCGAGTGCCGAGACGCCCGGCATTTTGAAGGTGAGCGCACAGTCAGTGCCGACAGCGGTGAGGGGAGCGGCGGCGCGGTCCCGCTTGATGCGCTCCGTCTGGGTGTTGGAGCCCTCGCCGGTCACCTGAGAAAAGAAGGGAGGAGTGTCAGAGGGAGCAGCTGAAGAGGGACGAGTTCGAGGATCGGGAAGGAGAGAGAACGGTCAAAAGAAGGGAAGAGAATAAATGAGACGAGAGGAAGCTACCGAAGTGCCTAGTTACATTGAAAACTGAGATAGGAGGCAGGATCAAAATGCCAAAAAATGGTTCGTTCAAGGTTATTTTGAAAGACAATGCTAGGCAAATATAAGCAGCGAGGGTTACGGATTTGGGAAAAATGTTATCAGAATCTAAGGCTCGATTTCAAACACAAATATGACAAAGATGACAAAGGGCAGAAAATGGCATTTACCTTGCAGGTGAATGGCGAGCCCTTGACGTGGTGGTCGGCGAACTTGAGGTTGATGATGTAGAAGCCGGGCTCCTTGGGGTTGTAGGAGACCTCCAGCTTGCCGTCTCCCTTGTCGTCGCACTTGATCTCGGCCTTGCTGGGTCCCTCCATGGAGAGGGACACACCGCCGTAGCCTGTCGACGTGGAAAGGTAACGTGACTGAGGGTGTTGTCGAATCATCATAAGACCTTGGGAGGTATTCCTGAATTGAAACAGGTAATCTTTGGAAGAATGAAGTGCCCAATATTTCAAAGAAACATATGTCAAAACCCCAAATGACTGAATTTTGAAAGTCGATGTAGGAGCATTTGAGCGAACAAAAACAGACAAAGCGAAAAGCACGCTATCGACCTCTATATGCCACATCTCCACATGAGTCGCAGGTGGCGTCTCAGTCGTCAGCGCTCACCTGCCGACTTGGTGTCGATGGTGAACTTGTTTTGCTGATGCGTCTTTCCGGAGGTGAGAGCGCTGCCCTCCACCTTCACCTTCAGGGCGTCACCGACGTCGTGCGGGCTGACCATGATCTTGAACGGCGATCCGGCGATCTCAGTGCCCTTCTTCTTCACGGCCACCAGGTGCTGGCCGATCTCGCGAGGCGTGAACGAAATGCCTGGGGGAGCGTAGAGGGTCGCCAGTGGTAACTAATAATTCAATGATACCGTATTCTCCCAGTACTAGCAGATCTCACAGGGTGTGAGCGAAATGCCTGAGGGAATCGTCTCAATGCCTAAGGGGCCGTCACCTCATCCAAAAAGTGTCGTTTCTCATCACACTCTATCCATATTGAGGGGAAAGTACATGCCAAAAACGTTTTTTTTTTTTTTAATGACAATGCTCAACTTCAATCGTCAAGCAATAGCAGCATTCGTCGCCTGATCCAGTCTTACCCAGTTGGTCCTTGTCGAGTTTCTTGAGGAAGCAGGGCTCCTCGAGACCGGAGGGCGCGGTGATTAGGGCGTTCAGCAGTTTGATGTCCTTCTCCGTCACCTTTCCGGGCAGCGTGACCTCCGACTGACCTCCCATCGAGACCTGGTTACGCTTGCGGCCCTCGCCTGTGGGAACAAACAACCCATGGTATCATTACCTACGATTGTAGTACAGAGCGTAATGGAATAAGCGAAGAAGTATTTAGAATGCAAGCACTTCGTAGTACGATATGCTCAAAAGTTTAGAAATATGAAGAATAAACTCAAGAAAATTTCACCAGTAATTCAAATTGACAAGTGTACCAATATGTATTACATTCCGATCCATTCTTCATGGCACAGCTTGTAAATCGGGAACTGTTCAATCTTTCTTAGAACTTAACCATGACAATCCACAACCAAGACGTGGCTAGTCTTGCGAGTTTTCTCCAATACTGACCTGTGACCTTGACCGGGAACGGGCTGCCCTTGATGTCCTTGTCGGCGAACTTGACGGAGACGTGGTAGATGCCGGGCGAGGTGGGCAGGTAGCTGACGGACACGGTGCCGTCCTTGTTATCGTGGCAGTTGATGTCCGTCTTGCTGGGCCCCTCCACGGCCAGCGCCAGGCCGCCTGTGAGACGGGAGGGGGGAGGATGGCGAGGGTGGATAGGTCAGATGCAGAACCACGGGTGGGTGCGGAGGCTGTATACACAAACTGCAAGAATAAAACAGCATGAGGTTAAATAGTAGTTATGCTACATATGTACATGATGTGCTGTGAGCAAACAATGTTTTAGCTTCTCGAGCAAAAAGGACAATAAAAATGACTACACTGCTTACAACATAGGGAAAATCTAAATCACAGAGATAAAAGGTCACCACATTGATTATCCAAACCTTGATGTTGACGTCTCATCTGTGAAGAGATTCGCATATCACGTTGCATTATACATAGATGCATGCAACATTATTAGTCGTCAGACGTTTTTATATACCAATTAACAATTAGATTCCGTTTCAAAAATAAACATGACGCATTGCGTTTCCATTAAGTAAGAGTATCGCCAGTTTAAACAGCCCACTTAGGTAATTCTCCTAATAAGAAAACACAATCAATGCATCATCGCAGTATGGTTCAGCGTATTCGTTTTCGCTAATGGCCTTTTCGATTTATAAACATTTAAACCCGCGAGAATAACATTCATCATAAGCATACTTAATCATCATTTAATATCAGTTTACACTTTACACATTGCCTTGCAAATATGTACTAAGCAGCGAAGCTCCACATAGGGAACATATATGCATGCACAGTTGACAACGGTGACTTTGGACCTTACAACTAATCCACGCTCACTATTTCCAACTTTGCTTATTTTCAAAAGACAAAAAGTCAAAAGTGGCACATTAAAAGAAGCCCAAATAGAATATGCAATCAAGCCAAGCACTAATGGAGACTTCATTTAATTATCAAACAGGGCAATTTTGCAACGTGGAAACTTCCAATTAGCACCAAAACTGTTTGCCTTTTGAAAATATACGTGCTTTGGAGACCTTTCGCCGTTATACTTGTTCAACTTTCTACAGAGTAATGCCAAACTAATACAGCAACAGTTATACTTTAGTGACTAAATTTGATGAGACGCAAAAATACTGCTCCATTCCATTAGTTGATCTACATCAGAATACAGTCCACGAGAATATCCAGTCTCTTCATTCAGCTCTAAAGATCGAAGGGTGACAAAGGAAAATACCATGAAACAAAACGGTACTTTGCAAAAATGTATCAAAGAAACACGTTTCACTAAATACTACACACTGCTAGGCACTACGTCGTATGTTCAGATCTCCAAAACTTTCAACTCGAATTGACAATGGGTTGACAGCAGCTGGGGAAAAGCTCGGCCAGTGGAGAGGGCAGCGGCAGCAGTGGGAGTCGGCAGTTCAGCCCAGCGCCTCCCAGGTGGCAGCACTGCAGCGGGCGGGCCGCACGGCGGCGGCAGCATGCCTAGAATCGAGAGGAGAATTTACCGCGGCTGGTGGCGCTACCTGAGCCGGCATCCTTGGTCGACACGGTAAAGTTGGCCGGCTCGCCGGTGATGCCATAGATCAGGCCCGGTCCGTAGGCGGTCACGTAGCCGCTGGAGATGGAGTCGACGTGGAACTTGAACGGAGAGCCTGCGGAACACACACCGTGGATGTATGGTAGTTACTCAGAACCAAAATGTGTTGATTGTTATTGGCATCCTTTAGGGGCTCTCGAAAAATGACTGAATAATCAAGGTTTATTGTGCGCTATAAAAATGTTTCCTGAAGTTCACTGCACGGGCAGCCATATTAAAAAAAAAACTGTCGGCCTAATACACAAAGAAGTCTGAAATTGAGTTTTTTTATGAGGCCATATTTTTAACTCGACTTTTTGCCGTCCTCTTAATTAGCAGCTTTACTATTTTCACCAGTTGTTCTCATCTGCAAATAAAAACAAGTAACAACAAAGGAGTAAGTAGGAGTGTGCTGCACGATTTTAGGTTTTGTGTGGAGACCGTTCCCAGTACTACGAGTTTGCTTCATAACATTAAAAGCACCATTAATAATGCGGGGAAATTTATCATCCATGCATGTTTCTCGATTTCACTTTTCTCTCCACACAAACAATAAATACGAAAGCGAACCAAGTTATAAATCTTTCAGCTAATCGCTCTTCCTCTCTCTTCCCTAACGAGTCACCCCTTCACTCTACCCTGCCACCTCCCTCACTCTACCCGCCGACAGCAGGTCTCCTGGCGGTGCTAACCTCTCCCCACCCTCAGATTTAGCTGGCGCCGCTGAAAAACAGCTCGTTTTCTTCACGGGCCGCCGTCGGGAGCAGGTGCGCAGCTTCCCTATAAATAGCTGCCGCCGGAGTCTACCTGGCATCGGCGCTCCAGCGCGCTGGAACCAGCCCGGCGCGGGGCGGGGGCGTGCTGACTGGTGGTCCCAGCCCACCGAACTGGGTCCGACCGGCCGATCCCGACCCAGTCGCCGGCTCAAGACCAGATATTCCTACCGGTTATTGGTCACTGAGGCTATATTTTGACATGGGATTGTGATTGCAGTCATGCTGAGCCCCCAGGAAGTAATATCTAGCCTCTAAATGCTGCTCCGTTTGAATATTGGGGTGTTGCCAGTCAGCCGACGCCTTCCGAACGTATACCCAAACGTACCCCGGGAGTACTTACCTTGCACATGCTCGCCATTGTACTTGACATTGAGTTCGTGGACGCCCTCCTCCTTGGGCTCGTATTTGACGGAGACGGTTCCGTCGCGGTTGTCCTGCACCACCACGGCGTCCTTATTGCCGCTCGGCATCACGACTTCGGCTGCAAACAAATACAGACAAACACAACACAAACACAGTCACATTGTCCTACAACACCTCACGACTTCGGCTGTAAACAGACACAGAACGCAAACGTATCAGTAATCACATTATCCACCAACTCGATTTCGTTGCACCCTCACCGCGCTTAGCTTAGCTCTTGCTGTTGCAGTTGTGTATCACGACTTCGGCCGCATAAAAAACGTTACATTTTTTATTGTCCTACACCTTCTCCATAGGGGCAGGCAAAGCTTTTTTGCGGCTTCTTAGCGTCGCATGCCGCTCCTTCCAGAACAAGATTTCGATAGCCATCACTAATTTACAGGTACCGGAACATAACAATGCAATGCAACATAAATCACTAGATGTAGTAAATAGATGATAGGTTAGTGTTTTCGCCAATTCTAAAGCGTAGTTTCTAGCGTTGTTGTATCAATTCCAAGAGGTGACTGAAATAAGCGCCGTTTTAGCGTACGTGAAGTCGTGCGGCACAGCATCCTTCCAGGCGCCCACAGATGCTGCCATCTTGGGACGGCTATATAAACTACAGCGGCACGCGGTCATGGGAGATATGATAAATGTGCTGCCTGCAGTCACTTTGAACAAGAACCAAAACATTACCAAGCTATTGTGGGTGGCATTTCAAGGCAGTGCTCCATTAGCGTCGCCACGGGGGGGCAAGCGGGGCAGCTTGCCCCCCCAACCTCGGACCGGGCACCCCCTGAGATCGATACAGATCCGATGAGATTTTGGAGTCGGGGAAAAATGGGGGTACCTTTCTGGGAATGCCTGTGAGGTCAGACTCTGTTGGAGCGTGCAGTTCAAACCAAAGTCAGAGTCGCAGTCGCCAAAATCTTCAAGACTCCGACTCCAGACTCGGAAATGTCAATGCCATGATTCATGCCATGTTCCTAGTTGGTTCTTTATTACATTTTGTAGCTGATTTTCATAAGTTTTGGAGTGCTGACACATAATTTTCGTTCAAAGCGTGACACGAAATCTTCGGGGCTTTTCTCAACTCTCGTCAAATGTCTGCGACAGGCACAAGTACCGTTCAAGTGCCGCAGGGCTCATGAGCCTGCTTTTCACACAGGCTCCTAAGGAGCTCCACTGAACTCTAAGAAGCTTTCGGAGGGCCCAAACCGGCCTCTGAGAGTCCCACTGGTGTCCATGTTCTCTAGAGGGCCCATACAGGGATCTTTGAGGACATTATACATACATACGTAGACCTCTGAAGGGCCACACGAATCTTTGAGGATGCCTTCGAAAATTTCTGAAAACCTCAACTGGCCTATGATAGTTCAGCCGAACTTTTGAGGCGACAGACTTTACTAACCCCAACCCGGCATCTGAGGGTTCACAACTCACGTGTCCCTCTGAGGGCCGCAACACATGTTTCTTATGTCCCTACCGTCCCTACCAAGTACCACCGTAGGGTCCTTAATTCGACACAGACCCCGACGGTTCACACTGTTATTCGAGGGCTCCAGGCTCACCCTGGGCCTAGTCTCTTAGCGCCCGCCGCCCACACTGGCTTCTGAAAGCTCGTGTGCCCTAAAGGGCTTTCCGGACCCACCTTAGGCTCGGAAAGCCCTAAAGCACCACATACACGTAAATATTTGGGGTGACCCACGCCGATCTCCGGGATCCTAAGCAGGCTTCTGAGAGTCCACACTGACCCTGAGTGGCCTGAAATGGCCTGGAAGTCGCAATCCTATCTCTAAGGGATCCCTTGCTTGCCGCTATGCCGTGCGTAACTTTTGGTTCCGTTAAATATTTTGGTCGCGTTTGCAGCGCTTCCCTTCACTCGAAAAACCAGAAAATTTTTGTTCACGCTCGAGTGAACAAAACACTTCTTCTCACTGCAGCAAGGATGAATGATGTACTTCCGATTCACACTTCCGACATTCTCTCTCAGTCTCCGCCGAATGCCCAATTCTTAGCTACAATCGGCGGCTGGGATAAGCCCTATGCATTTCACGTAAAACCTTGGCATGCATGCGTGAATGGAGGTTTTAGCGAGGTGATCCGATTCAAATGGAGCGTTTTTCACCTCTTCTGGGTAATGATCATGAGCGACGAGAGTCTGCACAGGGGCCCTCTGCAGTGCGTCGGCAATCGCAGCCACTGTAATTCTAACGGTCGTTTTTGTCCAGAAATTTCAAAATTTTGATTTTTTTGTAAAAAAAAAAAATACATGCTATAGCTAGAAGAAAAACTTTGTCACCATCGGATTCCTCGCACCATTGCGCGTCGAATGATATGTACAACGAGTGAGTAACGGCTGGGGAAAGGCAAGATTTAACACAAAACTTGATTTTGCCCCCCCAACCGAAAATGTCTGGCGACGCCTATGCAGTGCTCACAGACCCATCAAGAGGCTTGTGTGCAGTTCCTTGGCCCATGAAGTGTTACTTTACTGCCTCGCGGCCCATTTCACGTCAAATGGATGATGTAAACAGATTATCAATGATTATCCTATCCAGTCCATTTCTGGGGCTCTGTGTTCAATAATGGAGTCGCCATACCACACAAGCCGACAGCTCAGTGCCAAAGGTCGCTAACAGGTCTCACCGAGCAGATTATCCTCCTCGGCTAATGCACCCTCTAACCATCCGACAAATGTCTCGCAATGGACGAACGAGCGACTCGTTTCAGTGGGACGGCTCGGCGGCGCATACCGGACCCTTTGATGGCCTGCTGCCACGGCCGGTTCAACCGCACTGCGCCTCTGAGCTCTACCGCGGCAGTGATGCGACTCTGCCCCAGCACTCAACCGGTAAACATCACAGACAGAGCGCAAAGAGGGCACGGCTTCACATACCGGCTACACGGAATGGTTCAGCTCGGCACGGCAGAGTGAATGGGTGGCACGGCGGTAAACATGGTATATGGCGGGGCTGGCACACAATATACTGGTCTTGCGCTTGGCTGTAAATTTTAACGACATTTTTGCCAACCTATTCTATTTTCCATTTTCATGGCTAACGTCCGCGGGTGAATGTTATCCAGCTGAATTTGATTTGAATTAATCTGGTGATCCTAACGGTTTTATTGTTGTCATTTGATTTGCAATAGCTGATTTCAGACAGCTGAAGCTCACCACCCAACAGCGTTTGTACTTTCTATGGCTTTCGATCGCATTGATCATGCGCTTTTTTAAATAAAGACTGAAGCAATTATCTAACTTACTTAAGAATATACACTATACAGAATTTTGCATAAAAGGGAACGTCTGTCATAGACAGAATGGATAGGCATAGCAATAAACAATTGGCTGAAATCAGCGGATGAACTGATGAACTGTAGAAGACCGCCTGGCACAGTCAGAAATTCTGATGCCAGGCTGACTGGCATCAAGTGTAAGTATTATGTGCGCCAGATTTCTGACACAAAAGAGTACCTGAAGTCTCTTTGCCCGTCTGGCACCACATGCAGGTGTGACACTCAAACTGACCGCCGACACCCACCTTCTTTCACCCTGAATATGTCCGCCGTGTCTTCTAGTTCGATACACAGCTCGAATGGCTGACCCAGGACAAAGTGCGGCTCTTCGTCCTCAGCCATACCGACGGCGCCTCACTCCAACCCGCGCCACCCCTCACAAACGGACGGCTGACCGCTGGGCAGGTCACGGCACCGGACAGCCCCCGCCGAGTCTGGTGTCAGACTGACCCGCGCCCTCCCTCGCCACAGACATCGGCAGCGGTGGGAGAAGGATTCCCTCTAAACGTACGAGACCACAACCATACCGTTCGTCTGATCTGCTCTGCCAATACCGCTGATCAGCGGAGCTCAGAAAACAGCCCAGGCCACCGCCCGGCGAGCGAAGGCGGATACATGGGTGTAGGAAAACTGAAGTGACTAAGAGGCCCAAGGCTGGATTTGAACGGTGGTGAGCTAACATTACAAGATGCCTCCAGATGAGGGTTGATTGTAAGCTACAGAGGTTTCTGAGACGCGGCAGCGAGAATAAGGATGTGAGTCATATGTAAGAACGAAGGGAGGCATGCATCAGAAATGATGGCGACAGAAAAGCGATGGCAATTTGCGTGTCAGAGACTGACGCGCAAATTAATCAGAATGTTTTGGAGACACGTTAGCAATCATTTACCTTGCGTCTGTTTGACAACAACATGATTTGATCACCGACGTCAAACATGTGTCATATCACGTGTGTCAAATTCCACCCTCCTGATGATACAAATGTTGTGTCAGATGTCAATATTGATACAGGACGCGATGACCAGCCCAAGCCTAGCCAATCTGTCAGACGCTGGATCTGTAGAGACGCTTATCGAGATGTTATTGGCAATTGTTGAAGGCTAGTGCATAAGAGCTGTTTTGCTTTGTAAGAAAAACAAAGAGTGTAGCTAGTTGTTAACGTGTCTACAACAAAGTATCAACGACGCATGCTTGTTTATCGGGTTTTCTCTGGAGGGTTTGTGTGACTAGACATGAAATCAAACCAAAAAGAAGTCTACCTACATGAGTTCTATGTTTATGTGACGTTGTTTTCTTATTTACCTGTAACACGTCCTCCTGACGAGGGCAGAGGGATGCCACTGAGCTCTACTGGTCGGAAGCTGCGCTGTTCAGGAACTGGCGAGCGCAGAGAGTTGTACGCATTCAGTTGCTGGGTCCGAGAGGCAGTCACCGGTACCTCGGCCTGCGCCTGAAACCAACAAACACGGAAGGTAGGGTTAGGTCGAGAGAATTATCTGGACGGAGGCAGGGTGGAAAGGAGGGCAGTGAAAAATTGGAGTGGGGATAGGAAACTAAGCGAGAATTCTCAGATACTTCAACGATAGATCACACGACATGTCGAGGTCTGAATGCGGACAAACTTGCTTTAGAAAGGTGTTTAACTTGAATGTCAATAGTTGTTATCACCACCCATCGGACACCACGCGCTCCTGTGCTGGTCCAAATTAAGCAACAATACCATAGTGTAGCATTGTTGGTGAGTAAATAAGCCTGTTATACAGCGGTCTGAACGGACTGTTTGTAAATAAACCCGCAACATTCCCAACACTAATGACAACAGGATAGATAAACAATATGTTCCGCCAGACCATCTACGTCAATCATGAGTTAAATCGATCCTCAAAATACCCTGAAATACCCCGCCAGTGCCGTTTATTTTTTGCTCAGCCTTCTCCCTCTGCTCTTTAAATACCTGGTCTGCTGATGTCTGCCCCTCCTCCCTCCCTTCCCCGCCCCTCCCCGGTGTCGGGTCTGTTTGATCACCGGTGCGCCTCCCTCAAAGAGACGCCCCGCTGCCTCTGTTGTCTTTAGTCGGTCGATGTGTTGTTGCTAACACCCCAGGCGGTCCCACCGGTGTGGTGCGGAGGAGCCGCCGGCGGCCGCTCGCCACGCTTTCTGGTGTCGTAGTGCCGACGTGAGTTATGTTAGTGAGCCTCTCATGACCTGGGACACAAAACTCTGCCTAACATAAGCCCGCCGCGGCGGAGGGCGAGGCGGCGGGGCTGAGCGTATAGCCTGACCTAGGACAGCCACTTCCAGCTGACACCCGGCCAGCTTCTGAGGGGGAGTTGACAGATGGCAGCTGACAAAACGGCCCACCTGCGTGCCGTCTGTCACACCTGACACGTGATAAGTCCGCGATAAAAACGCAGAGAGCGCCGGGGGTGGGCGGCGAGGTAAATTCCACTCGGTGCCGCCGGCCAAAACGGGGCTAACGTGCGAGCCACAGATAGAAACGAGAGCTGCATTTTGGGATCCACTGTTTCTGTTTAAATTTTGTAATACTCTATTTTTTGTGGAAACAATTTATAAATTTTAACTACCTTGAGTCAGAGCCAGAAATGGCACGAATTTAGGGATTTTTGAAATTGAAATGCCAACTTTACTGAAAAAAGGTGAACGTGCGCAAAATTCTGATGACTCGTTCAGAACAGTCGGTTCTGACATGCAAACTCCTCGTCCAGCCACGGCCGCCCCGATCAGACGTTCGCGTTTCTTTGATCAGTGCCACTGATGGCGAAATGAACCACTGACGGACGTCATGATACGCCAACAGCAGTCACCGAGGATGACAGACGCCATGGGCGGGCGGTGGTGACGGTCAGGATGACAGCTACCATGGAAGGGCACGGTGGTCATCACCAGACGTCACTGTCACCCAGGTTATTTCGTTGTCAATAACGCAGCGGTGGCTTGTTTGTACAGACCAAACTGCTGGCAGGCATTGCTCCTTAGGTCTAAAATAGAGATCAATTACCGACCGCCGAGACGATCAACCGAGCTTTAGCGAGCTCCTCTAAACCGAGCGGAACATTTATACGGTCGCTTCCCTTATTATAGAATGAAAACAACGCTCAAATAAAAATAAACTAAGCATCGTGCCGTGCCACAAAGCAGGTGTGATAATGCTGGTTTACTGCTGCCAACATAAATTGGGAAAAATGAGCCGAGTGATAACATAAACGTCTAAAGCAGCCGTTTTATATTCGTAACACAAGCTAAACGGATACATATTCCCGACCATTTCACGTCAGACAACTATCTGACTGAGTTGGTGGTATTCTGTATTTTGAAGCAGTTTAACAGCTTCTAAATCACTCTTCCAATGATGTGTGAGAACTACTAGACATTTCTATTGAAGTAGATGTTCATTCGGGCCCCGTTTTTGACTCTTTGGATAACCATTGACGATATTTTATGAACTGAAAGTGTTGGTAAGTTTACAAGCCATGCAAAAAAAGCGAGTGATGTATCTTAAGTTATAACGACCATAAGCACCTAAAGGAGACCCTGACCAGTCGAAATCGGTGATTATTGGTGAAAGCTGGAGCTATCACACTTGGCACATCTAACAGTGGAACTGATAGGAATTTCTTGGCAATCGCCAGCCTCCCTAGACCCCAACGTGCCTGCGGTCTACCGGTGCCGATTTGTGGTCTGTCATCTGGTGCAGTCTAGAGCCGTTGCTTTCAGCGTTTCTGGACAGGTGCATGGGAGTGGAAACATTCCACAGTTAACGGACCAGTCGGTTCGGTTCACACTGTAGATATGATTCGCTGGAACGATTTCGCCAGGTGCGGAGATACGATCCACTCAGTGTTCAAGTACTAAAAAAAATGACATAAATTTGTTGACATGTATGCACTATGCATGGGATGACAAGCAAAAAGCCTATATAAAAAGTGATACACCCTTAAAAATCCGGCATCTCATGGCGGCACTGGCAAGTGTGAAAAGTTCCATTGTCACATGCGGTTCTCCACCCCGTTTCGGTCGAGCGGCACCGTTTCAGTTTACAAAATGTCCTGTCGGTCAATGAGTGACCAAACCGGGTCCTAACCCATTCTAGGCTCCCGGCCAATAACTAAACCACGCGGCAGCGGGCACGCCGCAGGGAGGGCGTCCAGTTCTCTGCCAATTTACAACAGGAGCCGACAATTTACAATGGGCAGACTCCAGCCGGGCTTTCAGTTGGAGGTCGAGATATATACTGAGCTGGCATACCAGCGCGACACCCGTGCCAAGGGTGAAATGGATGCAGGCATTCCGTTCTGCAGTCACATATATTGAATAGGGCTAGTAGCATTTCCACTATCCAGTCCACTTAGTGAAAACTTAACATCATTCTCTTTGTAATTTTTCTTCATTAACTTGTTTTAACATATTCCTGGATACAAAACGTCTGTAAAAAACGAAGCGTTTCCTTTACACTTTTACATTGTCGTTGAACACGTACTTTTGAAAGGCGTACTCCGTACAATCACCAGCTCTCATAAAATGGAAAGTTTTATTAGGATGAATAAGCTAGGAAATCAGCACCCGCTATCATTGCTATAAAATGGTTAAAGCTTTGTTAATTGCACAGAGCAGAGACAATCATAGCCAACACAAATGTAAAGACATTAACGATGGTGCTCTGTGTGTAAATGCAATTCCGTAACAGCCAATTTCGAATCATTAAATACAACTGCAAAGTAGCTCTTACTAAGGCCGTATATGTCCTTACTACCTAGAGTGAATGCACATTTATGCAGATCTAATTTAATCAAAGTTTACTATGAAGACAAGTGAATAAACATACCTACCTAAGCCAGGGAATGCTTCCCAGCCAAAAGCCTCAACCTTGCGCCAGGGAAAAATGTTGTTTCATTTAGTTGACATTTCACTGGCCAAGTCGTCGCTAGTTATGCGATAAAAATAGCCTTCTCGAGTGCAGCGGAAATAATTAGCAATGGTCCAGAAGACATGGTCAAGGTGTTTATTGCGCCAACGGCTGCGCCGTTTCCGGAGAAGAGTTGGCAAAAGCGGGACCGGACTGCTGGGATGAAGGGTAACGTGGACTCGGAGTAGATTAACTTGATTGCCTCATTAAATCATGCAAGCCATTTAAACCTGGCTCAGTGGTGCTCAGCAGGTTATATTGGGACGGTGAAAGGTTAAAGGCTGATCCCACTGCCTCCAGGAATGATGCAAGGACCACTGAATTCACGCTCGGAAGCAGCCGAGATATGTGACATATATGAAAGAGTGCGTCGCGAAGGTCATGCCGAGCTTAAAATGTTTCATTGCATGTTCAGTCTATATTCTACGCGTAGTAATTTTGTTAAATCCATATCTCAATCAGCAAACATGCAGTGGTACTCCTTTTAGCCACTCTGCTCTATATGGTGAGGTGCGATGCTCCGTGGCGCTGAATTTACGATCGTTTCACCTCTCTCCTCCATGACCGGGTCAGCGATCGCGTTCCAATGTCAAGTCCTGGACGGCGACCAGCTAATGGCGGTTTCAAATTGAGCCCAGAGCAGACAAATTTGACAGCTTCTGGCAAACTCCGGACAAGATCGATAGTGTTCACATGACTGCAGCACGGCAAGGAAAATATAGAGTTGCCTTCAGTGACAAAAAAAAAACTAATTCTGAATGAGAGATGTCAGATTAAAAATAATTTTAGCCAGTTGCGATGGGATATCTCATCTGAAATATGATACTGTCCACTATTGTGCCTCTTTGTTCATCGTTGGGTGACTTTTCACCACCGCACACTGCACCGTACTCGTGTTAGTGCAATAACTTATAAACCATAGGGGAAACTATACAGCTGCAAAATAAGGGTAAACGTTTGTTTGAATTTGTTAAAAATATAATTATTTGTACAGTTGGTCTAAGAATGTGGTACTGTTAAGCACGTATAACTCCTGACACAAATGACTTTTAGTTTGAATATTTTAATTTGAATTAGAGTAGACAATACCTCGATTAAAAAGCAATGGTATATCTTTTGCATGTTATGTTGTGGCTATAAATTAGCCCCAATGGCCATTTTATTCTTTATTCATATTACGGAATGACCAATATAAGATATAGGAGCACACATTGCTCGTAGAACACATTTTACTCAAAGCACCAGTCCACGCGTCCATTGGTCACCTTTTTCTAAAACTTCTCTCTCAGACAGATGTAATCTCTTCGAAGGGCGGTGCAAATCGTGTTTGACAACATGTCAGCAGCGAAGGAAATTAAAGCGACTGTGATTACTGGATCTCGAAGTCGCAAATGTTGCTACTGTAGAGTGTAGGTACGCTATTGGGTTGGAATGGTTGCAGGAAACCACTATGTATTTAGGAACAAAATCGGGGGAAAATGGTAAATTATTTAGATAGCACTATTATAGAAACAGAGTTACTTGAA